ACAAGATTTTATTTTTATTGTATGTGTAGAGTGTTTTGCTTGCATGCATGCATGTGAATCACACGCATGCCTGATACCTTCAGAGACCATAAGACGTTGATCCCCCTGAACCTGGACTTATAGATGGCTGTGAGCCACCATGTGGGCGCTGGGAACAGAACCCCGGTCTTCTGCAAGAGCAGCAATTGTTCTTAAGTACAATACCAGCTCTCCAGCCCCTGCGGTCAATTTTTAACTCCTCTGGAAGATAATGAGGACATCCTGGTAGGAAGCAAGCAGGGGATCAGGACCCTCTGGGCTGTCCTCAGGTCACCTTCTCCTGCTGGCTGCTAGCCACACACCAGTGCTGAGTCAGTGGATTGGTTCGGAGGAGCAGCTGTCAGCAGCTCCAAAACCCTAACAACAGCCTCTACTCCCCAAACCCTCCATCAGCGCTCTACTGGGGCGCCCCTGAACCAGTCAGGCATTGCTCCTGGTGTCTTCACTTGACTGTCTCTCCAGTGTTCTCTGGTTGAGTCCCATCCATTTCCCCTTACACCTACTACCTTGTCCGCCCCTGAGTCCCTGTGCACTTTACCCCAGAGCCCCCTCGTGACTGGCTTGGACAGGGAAATGTACCATTAGTGATTTAATCTCCACAAGACATTTCTCTCTAATTGCTAGTCATGGATGATAATTAGCAGCCGTTAATTCCTGATCATTAACAAGCTAATACTTAGAGGCAATGGCACCGGCAATCATCATAAGCCATGCTAAAGCCGCCATGCTCCTGGGCCCCAGTTTTCCCAGGATGGCACGGCAGCATCGTGGGATCCTTAGTGCGGGAGTGAGCGGGCATCCCCTCATTTTTGTTTCTGACAGCAGTAGTCGGAGAACAGACGCCTCTAATCTTTCATTTCGTGTTCTTCTCTGGCTATGAAAATAATGTGTGTTCTTTCAGAAGCTCTGTGGAGCACAGAAAAAAAAGTAGGAAGAATATAGAACATCCATAACCTTATTATCCAGAGCATCTCCCAAGTCTGTGAAAATTTCGCAGTCAGCTTCCGGTTTTACAGTCTGCTTTGTTCATCGAATAGTCTGAGGTAAACATCTCTCACGTGGCAGCAACTTATACAGATTGTCTGTCTCTCCCATCAGGGAAAAAAAAATGCTATAACTGTAGAAGGATGAGAGGCAGGAGACGGAGAAGCAGGCTTCAGAAGCCCAGACCCAGGACGAGGGAGATGGCTGCATGAGCAATATGTTTATGGAGCAAGCCTGGGAAAGTGACTCTGATTTCCCCAAACTCCTGTAGAGGATCTGTCTGTATATTGATATTTGGCACTTTTTGTTCCTTGAAGTTATCAGACTGGATCACCTCAGGCCCTTCTACCTTCTGGAACCTGATTGTCAGCCATGTGGGTTGAGGGAAATAATAGTCTCGTGGCTTACAGTGGGGCTTCCAGAATCAGAAATGCTGAGTCACAGTGACCCACCATGGAAACCACCCCAGAAGCTCTACCCCAGGGGCATGCCATAGGAAGCCCCAAAACATCTGTTACTCTAATCCTGTGTAATACTTGGTCACCTGGAACATTCTCTTCCTTTTTCTTTTTCTTTGTTTGTTTTTCTAGACAGGGTTTCTCTGTGTAGTCCTGGCTGTCCTGAACTCACTTTGTAGACCAAGCTGGCCTCGAACTCACAGAGATCCACCTTGCCCATGGATCCACTTGGAACGTTTTCTACATTTACACATTTCTAGATTCCTGAGCAACTTCTTTTCACATTTCTCCACCACCCCAACACCCCGAGTCAGTTAGTTTCTCCAGTAGAAAACCATATGGTCTAGGCACAGAGTTTGGAGTTACACCCGGTTTCAATCCACTCTGCCACCTATGATATCCTGTAGGCTGATGGAGACCTCTAAGCCTCAGTTTCCCCATCTGTGAAGTGAAGTTCATATTGCTTACTCGTGGGGCTATGGTGAAGGTTTGGAGAGGGCTTTGTGCAGTGATGGAGAGTCGGTCCTTTATAAAAAATACGATGCCACAATAATGCATGAATGTGTTCACAATGAATTACTAAAGCTGTTGCTTTTCCAATTGCCCCATTCTCTGGAAAGCGGAGTGGGGATGGGGGTGGAGGCTCTTGTGGCTTTGCCTGAACACACTCTAGATCTCAGGACCTGTTCTTGTAGAGTTCACAGGCAAGGTCACCTCCAGCCTCCTCTTTGATGCTTTGCCGTACTGATTCAGATCCAATCTCCTCTCTGCTTTCATCTCTCCAAATCTCCTAAGATGCAAATCGTTCTCATCTCTGCCAAGCTTACCATTAAAACTGGCCGCTCAGCTTTGGCCGGGCAACAGCTGTCGTATTTCAGGTGCCCGGATCTGCCTGCTCTGCAGAAAGCAGAGCATTTAGTCCGTTGTTACTGAATAATAATACCCCACACCAGGTCTGGCTTTGGCTTTTGCAAACTGCAGTCCTATCCGCTGTGACAGTTAACGCCCCAGCGATTCTGGAGAGTGGGGCAGAGCAGGGCTTATTCTTCCGAGGAGCAGCATAGATCTTACCATGGGTTTTCCAGATCCCCCATTTTGTGGCCAAATAAGTCTGGGGAAATTTGGAGTGAGTGAAACGAAGAAGCCGGGTAGTCAGCCTTTACCCTGTACAATGCAATTCTTCAAAAGCAAGATATGGTACCTCCTGGTGCCTTCCCCCCCCTTCAGCCCTCACCACATTGTGTAGGAAATGACTCGGCACTTTAGTTTTCCCTTCCTTGTCTAAGTCAATACAGGAAGGGTTGGAGAGCTGGGGTTCCAGTCCCACACTCTCCTGCCTGCTGGACCTGCTGCCTTTACACACCTCCAGAGTGACAGCGTGTGGCCCATCCGCAGCTCTCCCAGCAATCTCTCCCTCTGTCACCTGCTGGGCTAGGGCTGAGCTCAGCTTCACAGACAAACCTGGTCTCTGATGCTTTTCAGCTATCCTGGCATCCATCTATGGTTAGATCTCAGCCAAGGAGTGACATTGTGCCTGGTAGAGGCCCTGTGCCTCGTGGACCCCGCCAAAGCAATGCCGCACCATCTCAAAGTCTCTAATCTTGTGACACTCCAAGTTGCCCACACCATGGGAAGCTTGCAGCAGGGCTGTTACCTGTTCAGCCCTTGTCCTTGTCACGCTAGGCTTACATCTTTCAGGGGTGGCTCTGCCTGCCTTCTTCTGGGCTTAGGTCACATTCTGAACTCTCTCTCTCTTTCTCTCTGTAACTTTTTTTCATTTCTGTGACAAAAGCAACTTAAGGGAGAATTTGTTGTAGCTCGCAGTTTGAGGGTACCCGGTCCATTGCAGTGGTGAAATCGTGGTGTCAGGAGCATGAGACAGCTGTCACGTGTGTCCGCAGGAAGCAGGAAGGTGAAGATGCACGCTTACTTCCTTTTCATTCCTACCCCATAAATGCTGCCGTCCGTGTTCAGGGTGGGACTTCCCCTTTCAGTTAAACCTTTTTGGGAACAAACACCCTCACAGCATACCCAGAGGTGTGTTTTCACAGTGACTCCAAGTCACTGTGGCACCATACTCCCTGGCAGCAGACGCCGCAATGCAGTGCTGTCCCCTGTTGACTTGGCACAGTGCTTTTCAGACCTCAGCAGGCAGACAAACTGGCTCTTCCTAAAATGCAGATTCTGATTTAGCTACGTTTCTCATCGCTGTTACAAAACACCCAACAGAAGCAGTGTGGTGGAGGAAAGATTTATTTGGGTTCATGCTTCTAATCCATCCGTAAAAGGAAGGAAGGCATGGAGTTTGTGGCTGTGGAAGTGGGTGGAAGAGCCTCGTCGTTTCCTGGTGGAGCAAAAACCAGAGGCAGATACAATTTCACGGGCTGTCCCCAGTGCCCTTCTTCTGCCAGCTAGACCATAGCACCAACGGTTTCATAACTCCTCCAAAGCAGCACTACTAGCTAGGACCCAAATATTCAAAACCACAAGTGTGTGTAGGATCATTCCAGACCTAACCCATAACAGAACATTGGAGGGTTTGGAGTCTGCTTCTCAAACCAACTCCCTAGTGATGCCAGCACTGCCGGACCATGGAGAGCTCTTGGAATGGCAAAGATCAATTTGTCTCAACTTCCGCTTCATGTTAGAATTAACTGGGAGTACTTTCTCAACACCATCACCCAGGTCCCAGATGAGCACCCTATCAGAATCCGCAAGGCGCCCATGAATAGGGATTTTTAGACACTCCTGGGTAAGTCTTGGTTGCAGCCACAGGATAGAGGCCCCAAGGCAGGCCATGGTTCTGTGGGGCTAGCATCCATCTGTTCCACTCCCCTCTACTTCCTCACTCTAAGCCCTGAAAGCATCAAGTGGATTCATGACTCACCTTGCAGACTCTCGGCTTTTCTCTGGATGCTTCAGAGCTGTCCCATGACAGTGAAGAGCTCTAGCCATGGAAAGGTCATTCTACATCCATTCAAGTGTATTTGGGAGGCCTGTTGAAACTGATTTTTTGTTTTGGCTGCTTGACAGGTTCTGACTGCCCCACTCCTTCCTGTCTGGTGCCTCAGCCATGGCCCCCAATGGGTTCCACTGGACTGCTCTGGGGCACTATTGTTTTAGATAAGTAGTTCTTCAAGGGCAGAATGTTCATCTATGTATCTATCAGGATGGATGGATGGATGGATGGATGGATGGATGGATGGATGGATGGATGGACAGATGGACAGACAGACGAGTGGATGGATGGATGGATGGATGGATGGATGGATGGATGGATGGATGAGTGGATAATGGTCATGTATAGTAAGGAAAGTTCAGAAGACAAGGGAATAGATACAGTAGCCTTATGAGAAAACTGAGTTCCTGAAAGGCACAGGGAGAAGGTCACCTTTAAGTAGAGACGGTCTGGAAACTAGGAAGTGGCCTAGTTGCTCTTATTCATCCATTGACCCAGGGAAGACTGACTTTAGTTACTGCTCACCACCGCCTGCTCACACTCTCTCCCTGTCCCCACAGCTCATTCTGCCCCAGCGAAACAGCACTGCTGGCTGCCGACCATCCAGGAAGATGAGCGCTTGTGGGAGGAAGGCCCTGACCCTGCTGAGCAGTGTCTTTGCTGTCTGCGGCCTGGGCCTGCTGGGCATCGCGGTCAGCACTGATTACTGGCTGTACCTGGAGGAGGGCATCATCCTTCCCCAGAACCAGAGCATGGAGGTCAAGATGTCCCTGCACTCGGGCCTCTGGCGGGTCTGCTTCCTTGCTGGTAAGGACAGTCCTACCCTGTGGAATACCTGCCCCAAGGGGGTTTCTCCCTACTGGGAGATACCCAGGAGGTGCCCCCAGACAGCTCACCACAGACTCCACTGACTGAGCAGTGCTGCAAGCAGCCACAGACTACAGACCCAAACTCAGACCCTGATTCATAATGTCCTCTTGAGCAAGTTCTCTTAGGTCCCGGGGCTTGCTTCCCTCCTAAAAGCAAGCCTGGCTTTCTCACACTCTGCCCTCCAGCAGTTGCTGAACAGCAACTCACAGATCCAAATCGCCTTTTCAGGCTTCTCATTGCACCCTCAAGTTATTGATCGCCCATAATCTTTGCAATGACACTGCAAGACAGACTTATTACTGCCACTTTACAAACAAGAAAGGGAAGATTCTGGCTGGTTAAGCGCATCTAGATTTCTACTTCATTGACATCCACAAGGTTAAGGAACAGGAAACGCTCAGCAGCTTCTGGTTCCTCTGTCTGTGAACCAGCCGCAGGAAGGAAATGCAAATGTGGGTGGGTCCTTCCGGGTCTGTGGGAGGATGCAGATTTTGACCCTGCTATTCTGGACATCCTTCCAGCTCACTGGGGGTTCTCTGGGACCAAGTGAGTTGCTACACCAACAGCCCTGTCCTTGAGGCCTTTAATCACACCCTATACAAGAGTAGTGTCCCCATGTCCTGCCCGACCTATGTAAGCTGTGCTGGCAAGCATACCACAGTATGGTCTCTGAGCATCTTCTGTGAGATCCTTGAACGTGTGTGTGTGTGTGTGTGTGTGTGTGTGTGTGTGTGTGTTGAGAAGAGACACAGCTTGGTTCCATCTTGATGCTAGGGCTTTGATGGATAGCAGAAAGGACACCTCCAGCTCCAGCTTGGCTACCTTACATCACTTTGTTGAGTCTGTCTCAGGACCAGTATCTAACTGTGACCTCATCTCCCACTCATCCAGATGATGTGGCATCCATCTCTGCTTAACCTGAAGCAGAGTGTGAGACCACCACAATCTGATTGACAAGGCTGGGGATGGGGCAGGGGGTAGTTATTGCACAAAATCTACACTCGTGAATCTGAGACCATCATCAGTCAAAGGCACCAGATGGCACCAGATGCTTGCTGGGCACAGAGTTCATAGTGCTGGCCTCTTCTGTCCTGCTCTGGTCCTCACTCCAGAAAGAAAGTGAGACCAAGACATGTTCCCCACTCCTGCTGTGGGCCACCAGCCAGGGATAGAGACGTCCCTAGAGTTTTTATCCAGCACAGGTACAGAGACACAGGCCCAGAATGTACTAACCTCAAATCCATGGTGAGGCAGGACCGGGAAATAGCTGTCATTTCTTGTCTCCACAGGTGAAGAGCGAGGACGCTGTTTCACCATAGAGTATGTGATGCCCATGAACTCCCAGATGACGTCAGAATCCACAGTCAACGTGCTAAGTAGGTGCCTAGAACATTCTAACCTGGGCCTCTGTTGGGACAGAGAGAGGCAGACACAGGGAAGAGTCAGACGTCCAGAATCTTCTCAAGAGCTAGTGCCCTTGGCCTTAGCTGGTTACACTGGTCTTGCTTATCAGAGCTTGTTCTGCAGATGCTTTTTTTCTGGGGATGAAGATAGATTGCTGGAGCCCCTCCCCGACCTATGACCCCAGGAGGTGAAGGAACACTCACTCCTAGACTGAAGCAGTCTCTCTGGACTGCTCAGCAAGACTGACTTCACCGCCTTGACCTCATCAGAGTCGCTTCTGACCCCCGGCACGAACTTGCCATGTTACAGCACAACCCATGCCCTTGGTCTGTGAGGAGAGTCAGTTCCAGGACCCGCTAGATACAGAAATTCAAGAACACATCTGTTATGCAACATGGTTTAATACATTATCGTGTGTGTAACTAACACAGTTGTCTCTGCAGGCTTCAGGCCATCTCTAAATCACAACAGTGTGAATGACTAAACTCAGCCGCTTCCCTCCTCAGAAGTCAGGCTTATGTCACTTAGGCCCAAACCCCAATTTTTTAATCAATGTGCTTGTTCTTTCCCACCTCCATCCTGAATTACCTGTTAGCATAAACTCGGTGCTCTCAGGAGCCCACGTGAATAACGAAGATACTCTCTGGGAAATTCTGAGAAATTCTCAGGAACCAGGGTCAAAGAGCAAATTCTTTATTGTACAATGGAACTCCCCAAGTGATTAAATGCTGAAGAAGAAAGAGGCCAGTGCCTGTCCCCTCTAACACTCAGACCATGTCCTGTACCCTTGGGAATGGTGGACGTCTCTCAAAAATGTGGCAAGATGACATGACCAGGCACCTCTCGGTGCTCCTACAGACAGGTGGTATAGATTCCTGGGAGGGGAGCTTATGACCGAAGGGTTGAGAAATCTCTGAATATGTTGGCAGTTGGAGTCAGTTCTTCCAGCCTTGCCTTGGGGACAAAAGCTCAGCCAGCACCAGGGCACCCCCGGACCACTCGTGGGGCAGAAGGGCTTTCAGGACCTGTTGGCAGACAGTGCAGAAACATGCTTGTCGGAGTGAGGCAGAGTAAGGAAGGTCACCGGAGCCTGACAGGCTGTCCTTCTGCCCCCTGCGTTAGAAATGATCCGCTCAGCCACCCCGTTCCCACTGGTCAGCCTCTTCTTCATGTTCATCGGCTTCATCCTGAGCAACATCGGGCACATCCGCCCACACAGGACCATTCTGGCCTTTGTCTCCGGCATCTTTTTTATCCTGTCAGGTAAGCTGTGTTGTTTTACCTCCATATACCCTGGACTGCGGATTTCATTTTTAAAACGCCTGAGCAATTCTGCTGCAGGAACTCTCACTCACAGCCGTGAGCCAGCACTGGGCATAGAATAAGTTGAGCCAGTGACCAGGGCAGAACTGAGTCAGGGCGTAAGGACACTTCTGATGTCCTTAGACCTACCCATGAGCTTCCCAAAAAAAAAAAAAAAAAAAAAAGAGTATGAGGCCTCCGAGTTGGAGTGACTTGACGGGTTCGCCCTGGGCATTGCTGGGATGTCCTAGCTACCCTCACAATACTGCCACACTCCCTCTCCCCCTCCCACTGATGAGAATTCACTCCTGTGTGAAAGAGCTTTATCCTTGGGTGGAGCTGTGTTAAGTAAATGCATCAGCCTTCAGAATAATGGTTCCTTCACCCCTGACCCTCAGCTACCCTGAGAGTCCTTATTATGATTATTATCTAATCACACCCCATAGCCAGACCACTTCAACAGACCTATCTTCATGGACTGTCCCCAGGTCATACTTCATTCATTCATGCCTTCTCTCAGCCAGTCACCATATCTACAGACCCTGTTCATTATGCTGGCGTCACCGACTATAGAAAGGTCAAGGCAGTGAGAGATATAAACATGTAGACTGAAAACAGGAACTCAGTGGCCACCAGGCCACCAGGAACTACCGAGGGGACCAAGAATAGTGGCCAAAATTCAGAACAAGTGAAAACTAGAGAAATTGACCTGAGCAGTGAATAGGAATCAGGCAAAGAAATTAGGTTAGAGGTAGGAAAGGGCCTAGAAGAAGGAAGAGCATGGAACTATCATGGAGTCTCTGGGGGCCTGAAGAACTGTGTTGAGAAGTGAGACCACAGAGGCATCTGAATTGTCTTAAGATTTGAAACTTTATGAGGAGCCGTCAGAGGATTTTGAGCCAAGCAGTGACATCACATTTGCATGATAGAACACGTGCTGTTAGGAGTAGTGTGAGGAAAAGACGTGAGCCAGGAGCCAGGGAACCTGGGGCAGATGCAGCTACAGGAGTAACAGGAGACGGGCAGCGGTGGCCCAGGCTAAGATGTGTGCCACAGAAAGAACGGGACGATTCATGCGACATTCAGAAGGCAAACTCAATAGGCCTAGACTAGGTTCTCAAGGGAGGCATCAAAGGTGAGTTCTGTTTCCTTGCTCAGGCCTTGAGTGGATGGCACTCATATCCATGATTTAGGAATACCAGACAGAGAAGAGGTATTCAGAAAGCTGCCAGACATCAGGGCCTGGAGCTCAGAGTCACCTGAGTCAAAGACAAAGATTTAAGAGCTTATCAGCCTAGAGGATGAGAGCAATAAAAATGCCTGGCCGGAGAATCATTTTTCCTTTATTGACATTTATCTGTTCACCAACACACGGGAACGATATGAGAAGGCAAAGGAATGTGATGGCTAAAATGGGCACCTTCCCTGTCACCTCCCAGGGACCTTTTCTCTAGAAGATAATGGATTGGCTTTCAGGGCATGCATTTTAAGTGCCCTGAATTGGTTGACTGGAGAAAAGAGCTCCAGGAATGGATGCTCAGGTAGAAGATGGGTAGGTTTGATCGGGGTGGATAGATTCCATGGATGCATGAATGGACAGACAGATGGATGGAAGGGTGGACGGGTGGGTGGGTGGATAGATGAATGGATGGAGGTGTAGGTGAACAGAAAAATGGCAATAAAGGAAAAATGATTTTCTGGCATAGGCATCCTTATTGCCAACTGGCTCCCCAGACCTTTCGGGTATTTTTCCCATTTCCCTGTGAGTGCAATCTTTGAGCCCAGATGCAGTCAGATTACATGACTCCCAAGAAGCATTCTTCCTTGATCTTCACACACACACACACACACACACACACACACGCACACGCACACACACACGCACACGCACACGCACACACACACCTCTGCCCATCCATTATTTGTCCCACCTCTCTGTCATGCATTCTCTCCTCTAGTCCACCCTTCCCCTCTTTCATCCATGTAATGAACCCAGCAACACCTGCAATATCAACAGCCCTCTGTGGGGTGCTATCCCACCTAGCCAGAGTGGGCCAGATCCATGACCAAGCTGCTCATCTGTTCTTGTGTGAACTCCATAGCAGCCAAGGTGACTGGACATCAGGTTGCCTGAGATCTCAGCAGTGAGTGAATCACAAGATCACAAGTCTAGGATAGAACCGTTATAGGTGGAGTGGCTTCATGATAATAACAAGGGACATTTGGGGACAACAATGACTCACTTGAGTTAAGTACAGAGGAAGGTTTGAATCACACCTATCTCCCTTCAGCGCCCGTCCTTGGAGAGGCTCCACTTTCATAAAATAATGTGAATGGAACAAAACCTGAACGGCTCAATGTAGAGTAATTAATTATGACTTGACTCAATTACACTCACTAATTGATGGAACTGCTGCCTGAGGCAGGCATGCACACAATGGCAGTTGGAGATTGGGGGGGGGGGAGGCAGAAGCTTCCTGATTCAATGCTGAACAAACATTGTTCAGCATCTGAACAAACTTCCCTTCCATCTCCTGGCTGAAGATCCCTGTGTGACCAGGGTGGTCTGCATAGGCCCCAGGCCCACACTGGCAGAGTCCACCCACTGCTGGAGACAGGGATGAGAAGCCCCGCTGAGGAGTCTTCACTTAGTCCCCACCTGAGTTAAAAACCCTCTTGGTGGCTCCGGGCTCACACCTCAGACTCATACTAGTGCTTTCAGGACGATATTGTAACAGGGCCCAGAGCAGGCCCCGTGAACAAGAATACCCAGGAGTACGTGTGAGACGGCTGTGTGTATCAATCCCTAGGCTTGTGTCTTGGTTCAGGAAAGCGATTGGACAGGGAGGTTTGCTGCCTGCGTCTGTTCATTACCTAGAAGATGCTGGTGTAGACAGTCAAGCTCGTGCCCGCTTTTGAACCCCAAACTGAAGGCTTCGTTCTCGGTGGGTACCAAGTTGGCACACTCCCCGGACTTCCAGGCTGAATGTGCCCTTCCCCTGACCCCTTGCCCTCACACAGGCCTCTCTCTTGTGGTGGGCCTGGTGCTGTACATCTCCAGCATCAATGATGAGGTGCTCAACCGAACCAAGGATGCGGAAGCCTATTTCAACTACAAATATGGATGGTCCTTTGCCTTTGCCGCCATCTCCTTCCTCTTAACAGAGGTAAACTGCCCTACGCTGCCCTGTGCCAGGCTGGTACTGCACCGCCCTACCTGGAGGGGAGGAGGGAAACATCCCATCCTAGACCAGCCACTCTACCACTCTTCCCCAGAATGTTCCTCTCCCTGCCTTTCCTGGCTCTCTTTTACCCCGGAGCTTCCCGGGTCCACCCGTGCACTGGCCATCCCACTGGAGAGCTCTATGGCTTGTCCCAGGAAGACAAGACCCACCCCACCCCCCACCCCGTCCGTGAGCTCTCCCCTGCTCCTCTCTTACTGTAGAGTGCTGGGGTGATGTCTGTGTACCTGTTCATGAAGAGGTATACTGCCGAGGACATGTACAGACCTCACCCAGGCTTCTACCGGCCACGGCTGAGCAACTGCTCCGACTACTCTGGCCAGTTTCTACATCCGGACGCCTGGATCCGTGGCCGCAGCCCCTCAGACATCTCCAGCGACGCCTCCCTACAGATGAACAGCAACTACCCAGCCTTGCTCAAGTGCCCAGACTACGACCAGATGTCATCATCGCCCTGCTGAGCCCTGGCCTCCTCCCCGCCTAAACTTTGGATGGCTGGACAGCCTTTCCCTTCCCCCCACCCTGAGCCGAGGCCCAGGCTGTTCCCTGCTTAGCCATTGTTACTTGACCACATCCCCTCCCTGCTCCGAGAGTAGCTGTTCCTCCAGTGGGCATCAGAGCCTGGAGCCAGAGGCAGGCTGATTGGCTGAGAGCATGAGCCTCGAGAGTGCCAATCATAGCCATGGGTGCCAGGAAGCCAGCAACACCCCATGCTGCGCTGTGTTGGAAAATGCCTGTGTTCTAGTTGTATTTTGTTCCTTCACTTCCGGGTCAGCCAAGGCCAGGCTGTAGTTGCCGAGTTCTGATACAGACAAAGCCAGACTTGAACACTTGCCAACCAGCCTGGCTCTCCATCCATGATCTATATTGTGAGGTCAAAAGGTGAGTCTGCCCCAGCGCACTGGCTGGCTCAGAAACCCCAAGCAGGCGGTTCCTTTTATGTCCTTGGGCGCCCTCCACAAAACACATCTCTCTGTGTTAACACTGCCCCCAAGGTTCTGGATGGTTCCCAACTTTCATCTCTCAGAACACAGCTGCCTCTGTCAGGGACTAAGGTAAGTGTTGAGCGGTGCCAATGACGTCACAGAGGTGTTAATGGCTGAAGATGTCTTAATACACATGGCCCCTTGGTAAGCTATCTCTCAGGGGCTTTTGATGCCTTAACCCAAAGAAGTGACTGATGATGAGAACTGGAGAATTTGACAGTTCTGTGTTCAGAGTGCCAAGCACTGTGTCCATCGCTGTGGGGACACTGTCCCTGACTTCAAGGACCATATTTCCATTGAAGGCTCTAAGATCTAATCGTGTAGACAGGTGTCTGTACCCCCTAAGGGCACCGTAGCTGTGAGCTGGCTTTGATGACACAGTGTGTTTGGAGCCCAAACAAACCAGATTCCAGATGACCCAGCTGCCCTGCCAAGGGTGCCTGTGAACATTTCGGGGTTGCCAGTTTAATCCTAATATGGGGAAGCAGCTGCTTCCCAGTCATACGTGGGTAAATCACCTGCCTCCAGCAGGCCAGACAATGTGACAACTGCTTTCCTGAACAGGAAGCTGAGTGGGGAAGTCTGTGCACCCCCCAGAGTTCTCCAGGTGTCGGCTCAGCCAGACCATCGTTCATTCTGAGGCTTTTGAGAGGCAAGCCAGCGAGGGTCTCCCTGCGCTGTGTATTTTTGCCCTGCCCACTTCTGCCTCCACTCTCTTTAAGATGCCAAATGTCCCCAAACATACAAAGCCACAGCGGGTAACTTGGAAGCTCTGACAAGTGGCATAGGAAACCACACAGCTGGTGCCTACAGCAGAACACTGACTCAGTCAGCTTGGAGGAGGCCGTCAGTCGGAGATGAAGTTGTCAGATGATCTCTGAGGCGTCCGCTCCTGGCTTACAGATGGTGGGCCACCTTCTTGCTGTGTACTCATGTGCCCCTGAGACTTTTTTTTATATATATATATATCCAAATTACCTCTTAAAAGGACACCAGGGGCTGGGATAGAACCCACATAGTAGGGTGTTTGTCTAGCACACATGAAGTCCTGGATTTGACACCCCACCCACACACAACAGGACATAATCCAGGTGTGGCGGTACATATCTGTAACCCTAACACTTGAGAGATAGAGGCAGAAGGGTCAGAAGTTCAGGGTCACTCTCACCTACATAATCTTAGTTTGAAACCAACCTGGGCTACGTGAGACTGTGTCTCAGAAAACTTAAAGACACTTGTGTAGATTAAAGCTCATTCCAATAAACTCAATGATCACTATTAATATAATCATTTAAGTACCCGTGTACAAATATATTCACACTCTGAGGTACTGGAGATTGGGATCTCAGAGTACACATTTGGGAGAGGGCACAGGTCAACCCCTAACACGCAGATTGCTTTAGTAGCTTCTTGCTCCGTCGGTTTCGCAGACGGTGGAAGAGAAAGATAAGAGAAGGCAATTTTTGTCTCTTGGTTCAGTCAATGACTCACCGTGACTCCTTGGGCAACCCCATCTATTCTGAGAAGCTCGGCTGAGATTGTTTCCACGCCCGCTCTCCACACCCACAGCCACACCTCCAGAGACTGGGTCCACATTGTTCTTGTACGCCAATTTCCGAATCCGCCTGTGAACTGAGAGCAGCTGGCGGGCTCCACTCCATCGGCACCTTACAATGGCCGTCATTTGCTTTCAGTGTTGTTTGCAGGAGTCTATCTGGAGACGGCTGAGTGGCATTCAGATGTTCTTGACTCCAATTTTTGTCAATGTTATTAACACCTGCGATGCACTTTTCTCTCTCTAAAACACTTCTCTGCCACTGCCAAGCTTGCTTTTGTACACACAAAGGGAAAAACAATCTACTCCTAACTGCAAGCTGACCATTGACCATGGGATTGTTAGAGCGGGCCATCCCCAGCCTAAAACTGAGCTGTCAAGTCCAAGGGCATTCCTGCCCTGGAATGGGCCATGTGCACTCACCCGAGCGATAGTCTGGGCTCCTTTCTTCTCCCACGAGGGGATGGGACACCATCATAATTTCTTTTCCATCTGTAAACTGATTTCAGAAACTCTTCATACTCTTTCTTTGATCAAAATATTTGTATCACATGTGCAAGTGTATAAACCCAACTCTTGCCATCTCTTGGTTGTGTTTTCTCAAGTTCACTTTACCCTTGGGTCAGCAGCAAGAGGCTGGCATGAAGCATCATTGGGAGATGCAACAGCAGCAACAGAGATACAGGACTACCCCTTTTTTGTCTTCCCTAGAAACAAAGACAACAAACATCCCTAGTAGCAAGCCCCCACTGGGTCACATACCCGTTCCTGAATCACTTTCTGGCCATTGGAATAGGATGACCATCTATTGATATATCAGAAATTATCTTCCAAAACTTAAAGCGACAGGAGTCATGTCACACATATTTGAGGGCGTGGCTGGGCCTCAGAAAGGTGGTTCTTGCTTCGAGTCTGCCAGGAAGTTGAACTTGAGCAGTGGCTGTTATTTCAAAATCTTCCCTGTCCCCTTGTCTGGCCACTGGGGTCCAACTGGCAGGCAGAAGTTGAGGGGTTTTGGCTAGAACACCTGAGTACAGATGGATTCCCTCACAGCCTGACAGCTGGGAGCTAAGACAGAGTATCCCATGAGACAGGCAGGAGCCATGTTGCTGGGTTTGAAGAGGCATGGAAGTGGCCCACAGTCATTTTTATCATCATCACGCCACCCAGATTTAATTTCAGGAACATAGAGCCTACTGCCTAGGAGGTGAGGAGGCACCCTTCCACTGTAGCACGAGTTGGCATCTTGGAAATACAGCATATCCCTTCATGAGTGGCTTTGTCCGTGTTCTCCCAGCCCCAAGATCCAGATGTTATTCCGAGGTGTGTGCTATATCTCTAACCAACTTCCAGATTATGTCAAGCCCATGACATACTCTAGGCTTCAAGGATGGGGTTCTAGATATCTGAATATTTTTAAGCTCCCCAGAGTGCTCTGACCCCAGGATTAAGAACTTGAGCCTAGATCTGCTAGAATTTACTATCAGAGATGGGGATAGAGCCACCTTCTCACTAGTCTATTTGGGGATCACTGGTTTCTTACAAAAATGCAGGAAAGAAAGGATAATACACTGCTCCCTGGGCCACCAAGGAGGCTAACGGTCCCAGGACCATCCTTGCTCCCTCCCAGCCTTCACTGGCCTTACTTTCTCAGACAGGCCGTGCCTATGGGCAAGGCGTCAAGAATAAGCCCAGTACTTCGGCTTCAGAGCCATCCTTCAAGCTGACGTTCATTAAAATGCAACAACAGCTTGCCCTTGAGGACCAGGATGGCAAGTGCTGAACATCTCAGAGCCAAGCTGCTCTTCTTCCTGCAGCCAGGGCCAAGAGTGGACATCCAGTCCTGAGGAGGGCCAGCGGCTCTTCAAAGGTGACCTTGTAGTCTCAGAACTCCAATTGCAGAACTTCAGCCAATCTTCACTGCTGGCTTATGAATAATTCATTTCCCCCTCATCCATTATTGATTAAAACAAGCTTGAGGGCTTCGGGGCCATAAAGGGACCATGTATCACCATGTTCAGAGTGAACACGACTTCAGTCAATTTTTATTTTAAATCTCCCCACACCCATACACCTCCCATACCATTTCAGATTCCGCACGAGTGTGAGAAAGTTCTGTCATCCTGAGAGCTGGCGAGATGGTTCAGTAGTTATCAAGAGCACTTGCTGTTCTTGCAGAGGACCTGGGTTTGGTTCCCAGCCCCGATGTGTTGGCTCACACTGGTCTATAACTTAAGTTCCAGAGGATCCAAATGCCCTCTACTGGTCACCATAGGAACTGCACCTACATGCATACATACAAATGTACACTTACATACAGACAGACAAAATACTCATATATATAAAATAAGAATAAATAAATATTTATCTAAAAATCCAAAACACGCAAAAATTGTATTCAGATTGTTGTCTTTTATTAAAAGAATGGTAGAGATAAATTAAGTCTGCTCTCTAAGAGCTACCAGGTGAGTATCATCCGTGAAACACACAGAAAGTCCCAATGCCCTCAACATCAAGGCCAGCCCTCAGGCTTGTCATTTACCCGATGAAGGCTAGAGGAGTCATGTCACTAGTATTTGAGGGAGTGGCTGAGCCTCAAAAAGGTGCTTCTTCTTCAGAGTCTCCCAGGAAGCTGAACTTGAGTTTTGTGAAGTTGAATTCTGTGAGCTCAAATACACGCTCCCATGAGTGTCGGTGAAGACACAGTGACTCCCACAGGAGGCCACCGGCAGACATTATCACCAGCTCCCACCTGAAGCTTTTGTCAAAGCAGACACTTCACAGGAGGTTTCTGTAAGCACGGTCACCTTTCACCCTCTTCATCCTCTGCGTGGAAGAATCCTGAGACCTAAAGAAGTTTCTCATCAGATTTAGAAATCTGGTGGCTGGGGAGACAGCGCTATCAAGTGTTTATCAGTCAGGTGTGAGGACCTGGGTTTGGTCCCCAGAACCCACACAAAAAGCCAGTCATGGCGGCACATGTCTGTAATCGCTGGGGAGGGAGAGATGGAAGGATCCTGGGGCTTGCTGAGCCCCAGCTTCAATCAGAGATCCTGTCTCAGAAAAGTAAGGTGGAACCTGACTAAAGAAGATACTGGACATGGATACCTCTGACCTCCACAGTGCAGCCATGCACACACACACACACACACACACACACACACACACAGAAGGGCCTGTGCAGGGGGAATAGACTTATTCATAGTTGGTAGTAATTGAAATACTCTTCAAGTTTTATTTCACTCCCAAAGGTTTGGCATCTGCAATTCCAGATGCCCAGCTTGGCAAATGTATCCTTTCCATAATCAGAGAGGGACGGAAAGTTCTCACTAAGAGAAATAGAACGGTAACACATTGTTCCCTAAGAGCCTCTCAATGCCTTGCCTGCCATCTCTGCCCATGACACCAACCCATATTGAAAAGGCCGCAGTGAAATTGAGGATCTTCCAGGCTGAAGCCACTCCGTGGCGAAAGCTTACCCACTCTTGCTCACTGACAACTGGAGCAAGGCTTGTGACAGCTGGTCAGCCTAGTGTGTCAGCACATCCTCAGCTGGATAGTAGGAAGGAAACTTTCATTCCTTCAAGAAAGCATTTCTGAAAGCTCCATGGGAGCTTGCAAAAAGGAGGAGGAGGGAGGGAGGGAGGAAGAGAGAGAGGTAGTATGGTGATAATGAACTTCTCAGATGTGAGAAGTATCATCTTGGCTCACAAAATCAAATTCAATCTGAGTTGGATCCCCTGCTCGGTTGCATGATGGGAAATTCCCAAGAGATACCCAGGAGTCCTATAGGGAGAGGACAGCAGCAGCTATTGGGTAGCAGAATGCAGGTCTCAGGGGCTTCACAGAGATAGGGTGCCAATGCCTGGTGCCCAGAATCCACCGAAATGTTGTCAGTCACACCTCTAAGGCCCTTTAAATCTCTCCCTCATTTCCTTCCTATGGAGACAAATCCTATAGACCCACTTCTCTCCCTGACACATTCCAGGGATTTCTTCCTGCTTGATGTGGTGAGAGGATGCTTCATGTTCTTATAGGTGAAGTCAGGTCTAGATTGGAGGAGCATACATGCAACTCCAGAACTTCCGAGGCTGAGACAGATGGGTTGGGAATATAAGTCCAGACTGGGCTACACAACAAGTTCCAGGCCAGCCTGGTCTACATGATGAGACCTTATCTCAATAAATACGAAGCTCAGTCGTGAACTCTTTCCACAATTGAAAGGAAAAGGATAGAGATGATTTAAAAAAAAAAAAAAAAAAAAAAAGAAAGGATCTGTAGAATTTGTAGTAATTTATCCCATTTATATTCATACCATTAAATCATTACTAACACATTATTTTGGTCATTATCCTCCATGACTTCATTTTACTTATTGACTCCAACTGCCGGCGCAGACACTGAGCTAAGCATGCCCTCCAGAACACATCAGTGGTCCACGCAAGGCCTGGCTCTCAGTGTGTCACTCCTTCCTTCCTGGCCACTATCCAAAAGCAACATGCAAAAGTCTCTAACAAAACCCGGTGGGCTAACTGCTCTTTAAGGTGGCTACTATGGTTTCCTTGCGAGCAGATCTTAATTCCCTTAAGTGATGCGACTATTATTCATCACATACGTGCTCTTCATCCGGGAGTGCTTTGATGGGGCTCTGTCGGCCTCTGTGACCCTCTGCTCACTGTCAGACACTCCGAAGTTCACATCACTGCTCTATACCCAAGTCCCAGTGAAAGTCCCAGAGACAGACACCAAGACAGTGCCGATGTGGCTCCCCTCCAGGGTCTGGCATCAACACCATTGTCAGCATCCTGCTGGGTCCAGGTCCACCTTGAGCAAAGCGCTGGCTACGCCGCAGCCTCTGCCTCTCCTTGCAGACCTGATGACCAGGCATGCCTTTGGACAAGATCTTGGAGGAGGGTGAACACATCACAAGTCCTGCATAAGCTCAGAGTAACCAGACAGGCCCCTTCCCTTCAGAATGGAGGCTGGAGAGGGGGCTGTTGTTTTCATTGTGTACTGTTTACACTTGGGATTAAATTTAGGGCCCTGTGAATGCGACCTCACTGAGCTACATCCTGGTCCACACATTCTGGTTTCTGATCCCACAGCAGGGCTTGAGCACGGCCCTGCCTGCCTACTCAGCCCAGACAGCTGAGAATTCCCCAACATCAGAAGCACTGATCCCTTGGCCTGAGAATCCTCTGTATGTAGAGCAAAGGATTCGGCAAGGTCTCAACCCAGCCTGGGCCAGTAGCACAGCCGTCCTTCACTGTGCCAGCCCCAACATGTAGACGTTGCCAGCTGTCCAGGGGCGGTGTCCCCAGTTTAGGGTCACCTGGCCTTGCCTAGCATACTCTCTGTGTCAGTTCTATAGTGAATTCTATACCTGCAGCCACCCCAGGACAGAAGCACTATTCTGCCTATCTCATAGCGGAGGATTAAAGCGATTTGCCTTATCAAGAAGTAGTTGAAGCCCTCCATCCTTCAGAGAGCTCCTGGCTCACAGTAGAACGTCTGCAGTCCTAGCTGGACATCTGAGCTGATGCAGCGTGTCAACCCTGAGACAGGAGACCTGGAG